CTGCCTGGAGTGCGGGCGGGTGAGGGGAGGACCGGCGGACGGAGCCTAACGGCTCCATTCGCCGCTGTCCTGAATGTGGCCAGTTAGTCTATGAGCGGAAGAATTGCCGCTCAGAAGACGCTGGCTTTCGGCGGTTTTTCGATGACTGGCTCCCTCCCCTCCCAGCCACCCAGCCAATGGCAGGCCAGGTTCGGTGAGGGAGCCAGTCATCGCAGGCAGCGTCTTCTGAGTGGCATTTTTTCCGCCCATACACTAACAGGGCGCATTTTAGAATTCTGGCACCCAAAACCCTTTTATAATATAGGAGAGATTTGGATTTGGGAGTAAGCAGTGAAGTAGCTAAATTTGCGGGTGACACAAAGTTGTTCAGGGTGGTGAGAACCAGGGAGGATTGTGAGGTACTCCAAAGGGATCTGTCGAGGATGGGCGAGTGGGCATCAACGTGGCAAATGGGGTTCAGTGTGGTGAAGTGCAAAGTGATGCACATTGGAGTCAAAAATCCTAAATATAAATACACGTTGATAGAGTCCGAACTGGCAGAGACTGACCAAGAGAGAGATCTTGGAGTCGTAGTAGATAACTCAATGAAAATGTCTAGACAGTGTGCAACTGCAATAAAAAAAGGCCAATGCTATGCTGGGGATTATTAGGAAGGGAATTGAAAACAAATCAGCCAGTATCATAATGCCCTTGTATAAACTGATGGTGCGACCTCATTTGGAGTACTGTGTACAGTTCTGGTCACCACACCTCAAAAAGGATATTATAGCATTGGAAAAAGTGCAGAAAAGGGCAACTAGAATGATCAAAGGGTTGGAACACTTTCCCTATGAAGAAAGGTTAAAACACTTGGGGCTCTTTAGCTTGGAGAAACGACAGCTGAGGGGTGACATGATCGAGGTTTATAAAATTATGCATGGGATAGAGCAGGTTGAGAAAGAAGTACTTTTCTCCCTTTCTCACAATACAAGAACTCATGGGCACTCAATGAAATAGCTGAGCAGTCAGGTTAAAACAAATAAAAGGAAGTACTTCTTCACCCAAAGAGTGATTAACACATGGAATTCACTGCCACAGGAAGTGGTGGCGGCTGCAAGCATGGACAGCTTCAAGAGGGAATTAGATAAGCATATGGAGCAGAAGTCCATCTGTGGCTATTAGCCACAAGGTATAGATAGGAACTCTCAGGCTGGGGCAAGTTACAGAGGCCAGGTAGGCAGCCGCTGAAACCTCTCCAGGGTGCTGAAGAGGCTGCTCCACAACCGCCATGTGCTGAATGCTATTCCTTGGATCACTCACCATCTTCTAGCCAGAGCCAGCTGCAACTGCACCGCACCCACGCGAGGGAGGGAGGGAGAGTGCCCAAGGATCAGCCAGACTAGTAGAGTTTGGCCATCAGCACAGGAAGAAGGTGGGGAAGATGGCTGGCAGAGGGCATGATCTAGATTAGCGGCATGCTGCTTCCCCTACCTCAGCAAGTGCCCAGGCTCAGAACCAGTCCTGGGCCAACCTCTCGGCAGGAGGAGTCAGTGGGCTAGCTCTGCTAAGAAGGCGGCCTGCCCCTCAGGGATTTCTCCACACCCCCATAGACATTGAAGCAGAAGAAACTGCATGACTGACCCCTTCAGGGGGGCAAAAAACAAAAAAGAAACTGCATGACTGTAAAACACACTGTGTTGTGGAAACTTATAGTTATAAAACGGTGAGAAACACCCAAGTTTCCTCAATCCTCTCAGTTCTCTGTTGCAGATTCTTTTCATTCGTATGTGTCAAATCCTTTCCAATAAATATTTAACTCATACCTGCCGCCCTGGGGAAGTGAGGGGAAAAAACCAACCCCAAAATATCCTATGTGTCAGGAACAGTTCTGACCGGGTAGGGTTGCCTACAACAGGTGGGGAAATTCCTGGAGATTTGAGGGTGGAGCCCCAGGAGGGTGGGATTTGGACAGGTGTGAAAGCTCAGCAGGATATAACGCCATTAAATCCACCCTCCAAAGTAGCCCTTTTCTGCAGGGAAAGTGATCTCTGCAGTCTAGAGATCAGTTGTAATTCTGGGGAATCTCTGGAAAGCCTGCCATCAGTTGTTTTTTTTAATCACACTCTCAAATAGACCAATGCTATAAGATTTTTTTTTACTTCAACCAAAGCACACACAAAGTGAAGCACTGTCAAATCTCTCTCTCTCTCTCTCTCTCTCTCTCTCTCTCTCTCTCTCTCTCTCTCTCTCATATATGACAGAACATTCTGTAATCGGAAATTATATATATATTTCCAGCTAATCAGAGACATCCTTGTGTTTAATGTGAAAGCAATGCCCTTAAAAGGAATAAACCAAAGCCATTTCCTTTATGTTCTAAGGCTACTTCCTCTATGTTCTCCACATATATGAGGAACCTCAGTGAGGGTATGAACACAAAACAGCAACAATGGACCTTCTCTTTGTCTTGTCCTTCTCCACTGCCATTCTTTTCCTTGGAATGCACAGAGGTAAGCGTTGCATTATGCTAATGAGTCTGTAGATGCTTTTGGAAACTTCAGTTGCTGCAGAATGCTGCAGCCAGGATGTTGACTGGAATGGGATATAGGGACCATAGCATTCCAGTCTTGCCGTATCTAGGCCCCGGTCACACGGGCTGGATATCGTGGGGGGAAGGCATGGCTAATTGCCCCGGTGCAGTTTGATCCGCAATTATGTGATCAGACGCGCCGGCGGCACACCATGGGTCCTTCCCTCGGCGCTGGTGCATAAATGATGTACTACTTTTTAACACGCATTTTCGGTGGTAAGCCATGGGTGCGCTCCACTTCCCAGATGTTGGGGTGTGATCATGCCCGGATAATCTGCCCACCATCCGTACCTCTCCCGTGGCAACTTTGCTGTGTGACCGGGGCCCTACACCGGTTTCTGGGCACAATTCAAGGTGCTGGTACTGAACTTTAAAGCCTTATACGGCTTGGGACCAGAATACCTGAATGATTGCTCACTCCCTGTGGGCCTATCCAACTGTTACTGTCGTCTTTGGAGGCTCTGCTCTGGGTACCCCAAATATGGGTGGCATATCATTTAGAAATCCTTTACCTTCCCCATAGCAGTGATGGACTGTCTGCATTGACACTCCTCCACAGCAACTCCTAAGGTTTCCTCTTAAACCCAACAGATGTTTTTTCTTCCAGCTAAAAGAGGAATATCACAAGTAGTAGAATGAGCATGAGATCATGAGGATGGTCCCCTTTAATTCAAGGGTTTCTTGTTCTCCATCCCGGAAAGATGACTATGTGAACACAGTCAACCACACCCGGGCTGCTGTCTGTCAGGAAATCTGCTGCTAGAATGTATGCCGCCTGACAGAATTATATGGAAATCACATTTGTAAACATTTTTACAGCCACACTGGTGTAGTGGTTAAGAGCGCTGACTCTAATCTGGGAGAACCGGGTTTGATTCCCCACTCCTCCACTTGCAACTGCAGGATGACGTTGGACAAGCCGTGGTTCTGACAAGTTCCAGCCACAAATGGACCACAGTGACTCAACCAAGGTTGCACTCCACCAATGTTCACTGTGAAAAAATTGATTCAAGTCCAATTACAGTCCACAAATTTGCTTCTTCTTCTTTTTGTTTCTTCATTTTACGTCATGCAGTGCTGCTGCTGCTGCCAACAATTTTTTTTTATATATTTTTTATTATTTTCTTGCTACAAACACTAAAACACTACAACACTAAACTAAAACATAAGCTACACAAGGATCATGAAAAATTATTAGTCATTAGCTTAGACAAAGTTTCCCCTATAATAAGATTAATGGACTGGAGTTATTTATTATTGCTTCTTTACAAACTGGTATTTGTATGATTAAATCAGGTAGGTACAGTTTAGACAATTTAACTTTCAAACTTATCTGATTATATTATTTCAGCTTCTTTCCTCTGTGCTTCTTTTTATCAAAGTTCCACTGGACCTTCAGCAGCTTTGGGGCTACTGCCCCTTTATCAGATTCGGAGTCCTCTTCTGGGTTACTGCCCGCTGTGTTCCCGAAGTTTCCGACCCATAGGCTCTGCCTTCTTCTTCCAAGTCTTTTTCCTCTGTTGGTCTCTTGTCATGCGCTGGTCTTTGTTGCAGTTCCAAAAACACCTTCACTTTAAAGACAGAGTCAATCTTTTATTTTTTATCTTTATAGTTGAAGACAAGTCCCTCAGGTATTATCCATCTGTATGGTGTGGAGTTTTTCTGCAAAAAGCTAATTAATTTTTTGTATTGTTTTCTCTTCCTTCTTATTTCGAATGGTATGTCTTTTAAGACTCTGATTTCTTTGTCCTTGATTTTTAGAGTTGTCCTGTTTGTGGCCTTGAGCACCACATCTCTTGTAGATCTCTTTGAGAATCTCACCATTATTTCCCCAGGCAGGTTTTTTTCCTTGATGAATTCTGGATATGTCTGACAGATCATACCCATATCACTTTTTAGTACATCCACTGTTAAACCTGTCATTGGGGCCAATGCTTCACAAGATTTCTTTCAGATTCTCACCCTTCTGTTCAGAAACACCTTGAAATCTCAGAGCAAAAGTTGATTTTTCCATTTGGAGTCTTAAAAGCTGATCTTTGTCAGAGATCCTCTCTTTCTCCACTACCTCCAGTTTTTGTTGAATTGCTTTTGACTTGGCTTCAACCTTTTCCACTGCTTTTGCCATCTCCTCTGTTTTTATATTAGACTCTTTCAACTGTTTTTGGAGTGCTTCAAAGTTATTATAGAGGTTAGTAATCTGATCCGACAGAGGGTGCAATGCTGTAGCCAGCATATTGGGAAGGTCAGTATTTACTTCCGGTTTAGCAACCGGATGTGCTTATCTTGCAGTTCGGTCTCATCGCCATCTTTTCTGCCTGAGAAGTCATTGTTTACAGTTCAGATAAAGTTTTTAAAAGTCAATGAAAGTTCATTTATGAAGTCGCTTTAAACAGATCTGTGTTTTACTTGATTCAATTTGGAATTGCCGTTGCTTGTAGCCCCTTCTGTCACTTAAAAGTTCGTTTAAGGTTGTTGGGGGGGCAGACTCCCTCCCCCTGCGTCATTACAGATTGGGGCTTCAGGGCTTTGGATGGGCACTTAACCGCATTACCAGTTAAAGAGAAATAGCACTCACACTTCATTCCATGCCGACTGCAGAGATAGGGAAATCTTTGTAATTTCGCTTGATCACTTCTTCGCTCGTCCGGTGTGCGCCTCTTAGAGCCATGATGGTGCCGCTGTGGCAGGACCTATCAGGCAAAGAGGAGCCTCAATTCCTTGGCTGCGGCCTCAGGAGAAGCACACGCGCCAGGCTGGGAGTCACTTCCAAGGACTCGGGGGGGGGGGGGGTCCGGATCAACCAGCACCCCTCCCATCTGCCGCATCATGGACTGCCTTAATCGGAACTCCGATGAAGCATGCCTGCCATTCGAGTCACCAAAACTGAAAATCACTGCTTCCAACAAATTGTCATGCGACTATAGATTTCCCAGGTACACAGTCTGTTTCCCTCAATGCTTCATCAGGTCGCTTTATACTTGGAGCCCATGCTCTACATCTCCTACTCAGAAATAATCCTGTATTTTCTTAGCATCTGTTGATTAGGAGACGTAGAGCATGGGCTCCAAGTATAAAGTGACCTGACGAAGCATTGAGCACTACATGACGTAAAATAAAGAAACAAAAAGAAGAAGAAGCAAATTTGTGGACTGTAATTGGACTTGAATCAATTTTTCACAGTGAACATTGGTATAGTTCTGACAAGAGCTGACCTTGAAAGGGCAGTAATTGAAAGAGCTCTCTCAGCCCCACCTACCTCACAGGGTGTGTGTTGTGGGGAGGGGAAGGGAAGGGAAGGGAGAGGAGTTTGTAAGCCGCTCTGAGACTCCGAGTGAAGGGTGGGGTACAAATCCAATCTCTTCTTCTTCCTTTCAGGAGTCTCCATATTGTTCCCAAAGTCAAATAATTTAAATGGGCCCTAAAAGAAATCAGTGACATACTGCCTTTTAGCAACATCAAATCACTTTTAGTAACTTCTTAATATACTTTCCTATGTGAACATATGTTCCTGTGCTAACCTGAGAGCTAGCATGGTATAGTGATTAAGAGCAGTGAACTCTAATCTGTCAAACCAGATTTGATTTCCCACTCCTTCACATGAACCCTGCTGGGTGACCTTGGGCCAGTCACAGCTCACTCAGAACTCTCTCAGCCCCTCCTACCTCACAAGCAGTGTTCCCTCTAAGCTGAGTTAGTGTGAGCTAGCTCACAGTTTTTTAGCCTCCGGCTCACAGATTTTTGTCTCAGCTCAGGAAGGATGGCTCCAATGCAAACTAATTTATGCAGCAGCCAAATGGCTCGCTCACAACTTTAATGCCAGCAGCTCACAAAGTAGAATTTTTGCTCACAAGACTCCACAGCTTAGAGGGAACATTGCTCACAAGGTGTCTGTTAATGGGGAGAGAAAGGGAAGGAGATTATAAAATGCTTTGAGACTCCTTAGGGTAGAGAAAAGTGGGATATAAAAACCAACTCTTCTTCTTCTTTCCCAGTTACATTTCCTGACTGATTAGTCTGCATTACAGTATGTATGAAGCAACTTGGTTAGCTTGGCTTTTGTCTACTAAGGTCACTGTGCTGATATCATTGGAGGGGAACATTCAGCTCGACATTCAAGACCCTTTATGGCTGCCTTAATTGGAGGAAAGCGTCTCAAGTGTGGAGGAACTTTGATCAAAAGAAACTGGGTGCTGACAGCAGGTCATTGCAATGTGTAAGTTCGGAGAAATTTCCCTTCTTTATACAAAGTTCAGGCTAGGGTTGCCAGCTCCATGTTAGGAAAATTCCAAAGATTTGGGGGCTGGTATAGCCCCTCTTATGCACCTGATTTTATATTTAGGCCCATGCAGGGGTCATTTCGTAGAAAAAGAGCTAGGGGAACTCATTAGCATAACTCATTAGCATATGCCACATCCCCCTGACATCAGGGGCCCGGCAGTGGACCTGCAAGGCTGCTGGGAGTGCGAGGAAGCCCTGCAAAGGCCCTCCCTGGCCCCAGGCAGGCAGGGGTGGGGAGAGGTGAGGGGGAAGCAACTTACCCTCCCTCTTCTCCTGCCTCCTCCTGGCTGAATGAGGGCTGGAAGCGGGGCGGCCGGAAGCAGGGGGCGGGGCTTCATCGTGTGCCCCCCCCCCGCACCTCACCCGGGCGTTCTCCCCCGAAATGACCTCTGGGCCCATGGGAGAAGCGGCTATTGATCCAGAATTTTGGATTCTGGCTATGATTGGTGTGCTGTTGGCTATAGGGTGACTGGGTGCTTGTGTGTTTGTGGCCCTATTGGTGTGATCTTTGAGGTGTAGGCTGTGATAGGATAGTGAACCCAACCTACAAGTGAATGGGAATCTGAAAACCTTTGATGGTGCAGGAAGGGCGATTGATTTTAGAAAGTATCATTCTGAATAGTGAAAGGCAAATTGCCCTTCCTGAGAGGGAGATGTTGCCTGAAATTTAAATTTCAAATAAAGTTCAAACCCCTAGTACCCTTGATTGTTATTGTATTCAAACCAGAGTCATATATTGGGCCAAAGTGTTAAATGAGCTTTGCATTAACAGATGTTTGAAACACAGTATCTGGTGTGATTCAGGTTATCCGTAGCATCACTTCTTGAATTTTCTTCTTTGATCAGTGGGTTAGGTCTATAAAACAATCATCTTTCTGATTGTAGCTGGCATCTGTGGACATGAGGCCATACTATCTGTTTAAAGCTTGATTCTGAAGTCTGTGTGTCAGAAGATATATACTGGATGCTTTCCTGTGCCTTTGGTTTCAGGTAGTGTAACCAGCAGCACAGACCCAGTGCCTGGGGACTGAGTGGTTTTTCCTGAGAGAGAAAGACGCCCCAAAACCTCTTAACTTCCACAAGCAGTGCCCTCATAAAGCCAGGCTTGGCTCAAACACTGGCTTTTGCTGGGAGGCTAGGAGAACCATATTTTAGCTGGGAAAACATAGGCCAAGTGAAGCCCACCAGGCCAGCTGCACGGTCAGACATCCTCCATGCAAGCTGCATGGAGACATCCCTCGCTCTTCTCTGCTCAGTCCATAAAGACAAAGGATGGACAAACCTAAGCTGTTGCCTCAACCATCTTCTCCTGACCAGATGCCAGGTCTTTTGTTTGTCAAATGCACAGGCAGACAGAGACAATAAGCCACTGGTCACTGTATCTCCGCCATGAATGGAATATGTTGTATCTTTCCTGTCCCAAATCCTTTCACACCCTGGAACTCATGAAATACCTCTTGGCAATCGTTACATTTTGGGGTATAAATATACATGTCCAGTGTGATTTAGCTGGGCACACAAAAAGTTAACAGCCCAGCTACAAAGCCAAGTATCAATGTGAGGAATTTGTCACATATAGAATACCAACCCAGGCTGGAAACGAACTTTACTGAATATGCACTGACTCTTCAGATGTATCCAATTTTTATCTTTTCAGAGGCAAGGGAGACGAAGTAGTCCTTGGTGTTCATTCACTGTCTAAACCTGGGAGAGAAAAACAAAACTTTCACATTACTAATGTGTACGTTCACCCAAAATATGATCAGATAACCAAGGAAAATGACATCATGATTTTGCAGGTAAACTGAACAGCAAAATATTTTATCTATGAGGTTTTTTTCTCAGTTGTGTAGGATGTTTTCTACTTAAAAGGTGATGTGAGTGAACACCATTAAAATGAGGGTGATAAATACAAACCATGAATGCAAGAAACTGACAGAAGTGGATCTCCCCACATTTTCCTTTCCATCTCCACCCAGCAGCCCCCTGTTATTCCAAAAAAACCCAAACTGGAGACTTAGGACCCACTCCCATTAATACAATCCCCCTTTAAAGCTGTCTTTGCCAGGCATCACTACATCCTCTGGCAGCAAATTTCACATTTTAATCATGTGTTGCATAGAAAAATAACATTTCCTTTTGTCTGTCCTGAATCTACTGCCCATCAACTACATTGGATGCCCTCAAGTTCTAGTATTTGGGAAGACAGAGAAAATGTTCTCTCAATGCTCTCTCTCTCTCTACCCCATGACTAATTGTATAAACCTCTATCATATCCCCCTCTTAGTTGTCTCTTCTAAAATGAAAAGTCCCAGACTCTTCAGCCTTTTCTCTCAGGAAAGATGCTCCAACTCCAACTTTTTCTAACTCTTCAATGTCCTTTTTGAGATTTGATGACCAGAACTGCACATGGTATTCCAAATTAGGCTGCACCATAGATCTATACAGGGGCATCATAATATCAGCTGTCGTATTTTCAATCCCTTTCCTAATAAACCCTAACATAAAGTTTCCCTTTGTCAATGGTGCAGCACACTGGGGTGACACTTTCACTGAGATGTTCACACCCCATCAGCCTATCCTTGAAGTTGGGATTCTTTTGTTCCAATGTGCATTGAACATTTGCCACATTGTTGCCCACTCACTCAGTTTGTGGAGATCCTCCTGGTGTTCTTCACAGTCTTCACACAGTTCTTGATTTTTACCGTGCTGAATAATTTTGTGTCATCTGCAGACCTGCACACTATACTACTCACCCCGCATTCCAAGCCATTTATAAACAAGTAAAAGAGCAGCAGCAGCCCCAGATACCAATGCTTTGTGAAAAGTCCTCAGACAGCTCAGTGATTCAGCTTATAAAGTTTATTAAGCAGGAACAAGACAACTTTAGCCGGCTCGCAGGCCGGCTTATATTCCCAGTGAAACCACCATCCAAAACACCCCCCCACACTGCAATAGGCTATTTACAGTGGCCGAGAGTTCCATAGGCTCGGCCGGGAACCTAACCCTTGGATAGGTGCGGGCTAGGATCCGCTGAGTCCATTGTTTCCTGGAGCGAAGCTCAAAGGTTTCGTTTGACCACGTGGAGCCCCAGTCGGCCACGTGGTCAGTACTGGCTACATTACACTTTGTGGACCCTACTGTTTATTTTCTTATGTTGCAAGAACTGTCCATGTGTTCCTACTTTTTGTTCCCGATCATTTAACCAGTTTTTAATCCATAAAGGATCTATCCTCTTATCTTGTTATTGCCAAGCTTATTTAAGAATCTTTGGTGAGGTACCTTGTCAAAAGGCCTTTGGAAACTCCAAATATGTAATGTCTACCAGGTCACTGTTATCTCCGTGTTTGTTGACTTTCTCAAAAAGTTACAAAAGGCTGGTGAAATAACATGTCCAGTGTAAGCAAACAGAATGTATCAGATTAAGCTGTACACCAAACACTACTAGAGGGAAGGAGCAAAATTTAAAGAAACAGGACCTCTGATTAGGCCTCAATACTGCTTTGGCAGTAACAACTGTGTGAATGAATGAGGTCCATTCCAGAAAACGTGTTACATTATATAGAAAAGTTAGTGTATAAGCAGTCATAGCTGGAACTGTCCTTTGTTTACAGACAAACATTCTTATTCTTTATAATTTCTTCAGCTAAATAGAAAAGCAGAGCTCAATCGGTACGTTCAGACCATTCGGCTTCCCAGTACTTATGAAGATGTCAGAGCGGGCACGCAGTGTCTGGTGACCGGATGGGGAATTACTGAAAATACAGGGCAGATATCTGATACGCTGAGAGAAGTTAATGTTGCTGTTGTGGACAGACACACCTGCAATGACAGAAACCACTATAACTCCCAACCTGTTGTAACAGAGAACATGGTGTGTGCTGGCGGTGACAACAACCAAAGGAACGATACCTGTAACGTAAGAGCATTTGGTTTACCAATCCTGTTTTCTGATAGGTTAAGTATTAGTCTAAAGCTTGTGTTAAACATGTATTAATTAAGTCTGAAACAAAGGGGGGAAACACCGGTTAAGATGGAAGGTATTATTTTGTAGAGCAGCAATACTTGCAACAGCTTCTGTGTCCATAAATTCCCAGCTGGCAGTACAATTGCCATTTGGACTTCTGCTTACATTGCTGGGTCTGCATCAAGACCTGCCTATCAGTGGTGATGGTGGGGTGGTGGAAAGTGCCATCAAGTCGCAGCTTATTTTATAGCTACCTAATTGAGTTTTCAAGGCAAGAGACATTCAGAAGTGGTTTGCCATTGCCTGCCTCTATGTAGCCACCCTGGATTTCCTGGTGTTTTCCCACCCAAGTACTAACCAGGGCTGATGCTGCTTAGCTTCCTAGAGCTGATGAGATTGGGCTAGTCTGGGCCGTCCATGCATATCAGTAACAACCATCAATGCTAGTTTATGCAATCAGGTGATAAATCCATTTATGCAATCGAGTGTATTGTTGTATGTGCATGTGATTATTGTGGGGTGTGCTTTCAAACAACCCAAGCAGCCACTTGGGGCACCAAACTGGCAAAGCATGGCAGAGTGGAAGGAGGTAATAGACATGGCTTCTGACTGTGTAAAAAACATTTTGGTGTAGTGGTTAAGTGCGCGGACTCTAATCTGGGAGAACAGGGTTTGATTCCCCACTCCTCCACTTGCACCTGGCTGGATGACCATGGGCAAGCCATAACTCTGGCACAGCTGTTCTTGAAAAAGAGCAGTTTCTGTCAAGAGTTCTCTCAGCCCCACCTACCTCACAGGGTGTCTGTTGTGGGGAAGGGAAGGGAAAGTTGTAAGCCGCTATGAGACACCTTTGGGTAGTGAAGGGCGGGGTATAAATCCGATCTCTTCTCTTCTTCTTCTTTCCAACTACCCCCCCCCCCCACTGCTGGACTTCCTGATAGCACCTGGTATTTTTGGCCACTGTGTGACAGAGTGTTGAACTGGATGGGCCATTGGCCTGATCCAACATTGGCTTCTCTTTATGTTCTTATGTACCCAAATGTGCATCAATAACAGCAGCTTAATTTTTCTAACTTTCCTTGTACCAGTCTGACCAAAGGAGGCTGCCTTTCATCTTTAGTGGATGATAATGTCAAGCATCTCTCTTTCCCCCAGGGTGACTCTGGTGGCCCTTTGATATGTGGGGGAATACAAAGAGGCATCACTTCTTTTGGACGAGAGGGAAGATGTGGTGATCCCCAGTTCCCAGGTGTCTATACTCGTCTCACAAGGGACAATCTTGATTGGATTAAGAAAATCGTATTCTGGTGACCTCGGTAGGTTACTGGATGGACTCTCTCGATATGCATTAATGCTTTGCTCTCTCAGTATCAATTAATGTACCACTTTTTTGAAGTTTGTTCAGTGATTTATTCAGGTGGGTAGCCATGTTAGTCTGAAGCAGCAGAACAAAGTTTGAGCCCAGTGGCCCCTTTAAGACCAACAAATTATAATTCGAAGTGTAAACTTTCATGTGCAAAGCACAATTCTTCAGACATTTGCACACGAAAGCTTACACTTTAAATAAAACTTTGTTGTCTTAAAGGTGCCACTGGACTCAAATTTTGTTCAGTGATTTATTTTCATCTCATTAGCTACTGTTTCAGGTGTTACAACTACATTCTGTGTTCATAGATGCACAAGAAAATATATGTGAGAGTGTGTCTCATTAAAATCTTGCAAGAAGAATTCCACCATGAATCCTTATTTACTCAGGATTAGACTGAAAATTCTAGACTAGAGAGGTGAACAGTCTCAATGCAAGATGAACTTTTTTTTGTCTTCCATTTCAACGGTTTTTTAAGTTATACACAATAAAACCTTATATGTATAAAGCCTTATATGTATAAATGCAAATTGTCCATTAGATGACAATCCAGTATTACATGTACAGACTCAAGTTAATTCCATCTATATATATAAAAGAAAGTCCCCTCACCATAACATCAATGCCCAGGACAAACCCCTGGACCTAGAAACACGAAATTCAGGGAGAGCGCTACTACCATGGCGTAAATGCTCACTCAGAAGGGATTTTTAGAAATTTAACCCCTAAGAGGGTCAAAAGGGGTATTCCTATGTGGCTGCCAGGCTGCTGCCTCCTTGCATCACCCATTCTCTGATTGGTCAGCTGCAGAGCTCAGCGTTCTGAGGTAAAAAAAACAGTTACAGGAGACTGCACAGAGCTAACAACAGTTGAGGAAATCAGGAATGGCCAACCACCCCCTGTGTGGTGTAGTAGTGCTGCTGGCCCAGCCTCTCTGATGGCTTCCAACACACTGCCCCCACCTCCTACACCTAACAGGCAGTTGTCTGTCAGGCACAGCAGAGGTTGCAGGGTGCTTGTAGCCATGAGGGAGCCCGCCCCAGCAGTAATGCCTTAGTGATCCTGCCAGCCCCGCCTCCACAGTGGCTTCTAATACTCCTCCCCCCTCCCCTGCTTACAGTTGACAGGGAGGTTTGCTCAGCAGGATTCGCCCAGCCTCCCTGATGCCTTTAAACATAATCCCCCTGTCAGGTGTAGGAGCAGGGCCAAGGCACTTTAATCCATCAGGGATGCCGCACCAGCAGAATCACCTTAGCGGTGCTGCTGGCCCAGCTTAGCCAAACTCCCACCCACAATGGAAATGTACCCCAAATTTGTAGAAAACTGGTTTCCTTTATTAGGTTGTTTAAGTTCTCACAATGTGGGTTCAAGAAAATTAGTTCATATGAACTAATATCTGATTGCTCGAATGTTTTGAATACGTAGTTATGTCCCACTTTTTAAATGTAACATAAATGAGAGGCAATTTTGTAAAAAAAAAAGGGGGGGTATGCCTTCCCCCCTAATTCAATGCCCAGGCAAAACCCCTGCACCAAGAAACCCAAAATAAGGGAAGTGCATTCCTACCATGATGTCAAGCCCCCACAAAGAGATTTCTGAGAAACACGACCCCTAAGGGGGTAAAAGGGAGGCAAAACATGTTCCCTAAATTGTTTTCCATGTGCCTGGAAGGCTGCTGCTTCCTTGCTCCCCCCATTGGTCAACTGTGTAGTTCAGAGTTCTGAGGTAAAACCTGCCTGTTTGCATAATTCCATAGAGTCCACCCTCCAAAGTAACCATTTTCTCCAGAGGAACCGATTGCAGTCATCTGGACATCATTTGTAATAGTGGGAGGTCTCCAGGTGCCACCTGGAGTTTGGCAATCCTAGAATCTGGAGAATGCTAGAGGCACCTAAACTCCATTGACCTCCATAGAATCTGCCCCTTTTTGAGAGGTAGTGTGAAATTTCATTTGAGTTTTCCCCAGGGCCTATCAAGGTGAGAGATAAGAAGGCCATTTAGCCCAGGCCTCCCATTCACAGAGGGCTTCAAGTTTAGACTTTTGACATTATCTCCAAAAGAGGTTATACATACAGTCACAGAGATACATTGGCAGGATTGAAAAAAAAAGATGCTCATCACGCAACTTTAAACTCGTGTTCCATTACCAGGCCACAGCACCTGTAATGCACACTATGAATTAATATCTTCCTTGCAGGGTTGCCAAGCCCTGCCCCACCTTCCTGAGTAGATCTAAATTACCTGCCTAGCATTTTTCTTCTCACCTTGACACAGAGAGTACTCTATCTTTCTGTATTATACCTCTGAGGATGCCAGTCACTGATGCTGGCGAAAGTTCAGGTCCTACACTGCCAAGACCATGGCCATACAGCCCAGATAATCTACAACAACTAATGAACTCTAACTGTGAAAGTCTTCCACAACATAAACAAGATTATACCCAAGAAACATTTATCCCACCACTTATCAGAAATCATCTCAGGATCCTTCCTATCAACACTCCATTGTTCTGAGCAATAACATAAGGAAAGTAACTTTAAGTTTACAGTCTTATTTGCAGCAAAATAAGGTGCTTATGTTTATAAAACATAGCTGTGGCAAGAGAAAAGGTTTGGCACATTGGCCCCAGGGGCTTTAACAGTGATTTTGATTTAAGTTGTTTTGTAAGGGGTATTCCAGGCTTCTATGTTACCAAGGTTGGCTGTAAGTTTTGTAGAATCTCAGCCCCACCTGGAGGTTGGCAACATGGAGTCACCTTGTCAGGTTTGGCGGGGAGGCCAGGAGCCAGCAACAGTGGAAGAGGGCAGTAAGGCAGCTGCGTGAGGCCCAGCAAGGCTCCCTACCCCCCAAGCCACCACCATGCTGAGGAGAGATAGAGAAGGCAGAAAGGGAAGCTCTTCCCTCATTCCAGGTGCACAAGGGCTGACTGAGGTTTCAGTGCTAGTGAGGAGAGACATCCCAACATGCTCAGAGGTACTTTAGCAATTTAAAAGCTTTTAGTTATATATATAATTATTAACATTTACCTTATTATATGTGTGTGTGTTTCAGGTGGTATACATTGGATACAATAATCATGTGGATCATTAGTTGATGGTAAACGTGAATGTGGCTGTCTGTGAATCATAGACTGAGTGCCATTGCTCTGGCTAATCCAGAATTACTACCTGTTGGAAATGAAACTACAATTTTGCAATAATGCCTCATTATGATTGCTTATATTTGGTAGTTTTTTATTTAGTATATTTAATCCCAGTCCAGGGTTGCCAGGCTGTGTCTGGCAACCACCAAGTGGGTTGGGGGCAGAGACATAGAGGTGTCACAACATCATGTTCACGGCTATGTCATTTCTGGAAGTGATGTAGGGTAGCTCTAGGAATCATCAGAAAAGTCATAGAGTTTCCAGTAATTCCTAGAGCTACCCTATGTCATTTCCAGGCTTTCCTCAGAAGTAATGTAGAGGTGCCCAGGATGCTGAGGGGTTTGTTTGTTTGTTTGTTAATTAAGCAAAGACAGCTGTCACAGGAAGCTGTAAATCCCACCCTTCTTTCAAGGAGATCAGGCTGATGTACAGTGTTATGTGTTTCTTCATTTTGTCCCATAACAACTCTGTGAGGAAGGTTAGGCTGAGAAAGAATGACTAGCCAAAGGTCAGGGGTTCGTGCCTGAGTCTCACTGATCCTACTGCCATTTCTTGACCCTTGTTACTTGTCATATTATGCAGGCTTCCTTTTGCCTAGTCTATCATCTGAAATTAAGTTCTAGATTTATTCATGTAATGACTACTGTATATTTCCTCTGCTCTCAACCTTTTAAAGGAACTCTGAGTTCCATTTGACAGTACAGAAACTTTTGATCTACCACTGTTGTTAATATTTTCAGGGGGAGGCTGCCATTTTTTTGCTTCCTCCCAGACAGCCACAGGTGTACCCTGACTACAGTTCTTCCCAGCACCATTTTATCTACGCAAACCTGCTAGACACTCTATGCAAGATTCTGAGAAGAAGCCTGAAGATCGCATTCTGGAACAATGTTTTTCTCTCCCCATCCCTTTTAATGTCCAGCCTGATTAAGAGTTCTGGAGGCATCAAAAGCTTGTGCATTGTTGCATGTTGTTTTTGGTTGGCCCTAATAAAAGTTATTGCATGGTTTTTGTTTTTGCAAAACAAGCCAAGAAAAAAATCCAAGAAAACGTACAGCTTGATGCACACTGGAAA